ACTTGAAGAATCAAAGAAGAAATAAATTCGAAATTTCGACTGTTGCCAAGTCGAATTCAACAACTTATCATTCTGCTGAGTGCTTAAATCAATTTCTCAGAATGAGGCACATCATAATCTATATGCACATTATTAATTTCAATCCGGGAAAGAACACATCACAAATAAATAAATATCATGAATTTCAATTAAGTGGCCATACTCATATATGTTATTTTAGAATCGTCTCCATAATATGTATAGCATACATTGTATAGACGGAGTATTCTCTGTTTTTTCTTTCTCTCAACCCAGTACAGATTCTTGAATTATTCTGCACACAATAAACAAGAAATACCGAATAGCAAAATACGATGGCATTTAGACAATGAGAAAATAAAATAAGTAAATGCCGCGACCGTAAAGCGCACTTCAGACAACTTTTCTTCTCCATTCCCTCTTGTGTTTCGTGAATAAAGCCACTTTCAGTGGAAGTGGTACAATCGGCGACAGCTTTCACTTTATATGTTTGCGAACCGCTTTGGTATCGTTAAACGTTTAAGGATGTACATGTCGCGGCAACAACCTTAATATCGTACTTGTACAAAACATGCGATTTCATTGGATTAGTTGTCAATTTAGCAGACGCAAAAGAATTTTCGCAACCGACAATAAACACATATTACAGTCTCCAACTGACTGCGTTAGAACAATATCGCATTTGAATGGTATAGGTTCGGGTCAATTTTGTGTGTAGCAAAATAAAGAAAGTGTTGGAACATGATGAAAATCCAGTTGGATCAGAGAGTAGATTTAGGTAAGGCCGATGGATCTATTTCATGTTGAAAAGTCAACTTGATGCGAGACACAAAAAAGCTCATAATTCATAAAATACATATCAAAAAATTCTTTTGCCAGAAAGAAAAAATATGTTCGCCGTTTCTCAGCGACTACAAGCACGTGTTGAGTGGTTATTCCTGCATTCGTTTGACATTTTCGAATTGTAATATGAGGAAGTCAAGAAACGGAAAATTGCATATCTGTAACATTTATCAAAAATGATAGATAAAGCTTTCGCAAGTATATTTGGATGAAATAACAATATTTCAACACAACCGCTGTTACCAACCGAATGTGTAGCTGTTTGCTCTTCATTTCCTCATTCAATCCAATAAAATGGTTTTGTTTTGATATGTGCGAAAGGTTTATTTTTATCCAAAATCAAATTTTAATCTTCGCTTTTGCCATTTCCAAATGAATTGGTTATTATGTTTTTGCAACCTACCTGCTGGATTTGGTGGGAAGTGAAAATGGTCGAAAATGGGAAAAAGCAACGGGAAAAGCACACGTTTATTATGCGAGAATCAAGCTTTCATCCCACACGCACCCAAGAGGATAATCACATTGTAAGTTTGTATGTTTGGTTTGTAGGCTAAATCCTTGCTCTTTGCTATTCCGCATGGAAACAAGAACTAAATACGGTACAATATTTCGTTCTAAACAGTCATACGACATAAATGCTTAAGAGCTATACAGCCAAACACTACACGACAAATGCTAGAACGCGTATCTTTCGTTGTTATTTAATCAAACTGTATATACGTTGTAAAGAGGATTTGCGTGTGACAAACAATGCATTATACTAGCAGGTGAAGAGCATTTTTTCAGACAAAATACACATATTTGCCATTATAATTGAAATATAATACGAATTCGTAGATATGTAACAAAAAATGGATGTGTCTGTGATTACATTGCATAATGCGTGACATTGAATCACTTTCATTCATTCATAAGTATGTTTGAGGAATTTGATACGTATGTTCAAGGTAAAAAAAAATCCAAATCGATTGCGGCGGTTATGGTTGTATTCATCCAACGTCGTGTAACTTTTTTTTATTTGATCTTTTGTGAAAGAGTTCTAAGAAAAACCAAAAAACATTTCATACACATAGGTCGAAATTTAATTCCCATTTGAACGTTCCAATGCAATAGACATTGTTTTGAAAGCTATAACAGTGTAACGATGGTGATTGTTAGAACCGTTGACTAGATAAGACAAACTGTTTCCGTTGGCTGTTATTATTGGTTGACCCTCAAATTGAAAACAACAGCAATGTTATTTTAACGGTTTTATCAATAGACCAATTTTATGGAAGTATTTCTATTTTATCGCATTCATCCAAGTACATTTCAATTCCAACGAATTCATAAAAAGTGTTATTACGATGCAGGCCGCCATCGGCATTTTGCCAGAATGATTATTATTAGGATTTTGCCGATTATATCAGACGAATAATAAAAAAAATCCAATACTTTGCGTAAAAAACAAATACAAATCGCATTCAGTGATTTTCCTCTGATGTTCTTACAACCTAATTAAAATCACGGTACATCGATGATGTTATATAAGATAGCTCATCAAAACGATGTGTGAAAAACAGATGCCAAACTCTTTATTAACATCGACATTATCATGCAAGGCTTCTATGCCATCTATTCAAGTACACTTTAATCATTAATCGATGCTCACTCCTTCGGTGATAATGAGATTTTCTCATTAAAAAAATTCGCACAAACATTTCGCTCGAAACAAACATATTCCTTGCAGGAAATAAATACCCGTACATATCATGATGACAAAATTCCTCCGAAAATTATGAAAATTCAATGCGTAATTCCATTGATACATCAATAAATGCCTGTCGATTCATAGCCATGGTAAATATTTGCTTCATTTTTTTCGCTATATATCTAACACGTCCATCAACAGTGTATATAATTGTTCACGGAACAACTGAATGGAACGGAAAAAAAAGTCTGCCACATTATGTTGCTACGCCATTTATTATGACTACTCCGCCGAAATTTATCACACTTTTATTATTATTTCTGCTCAAGTAATTCTATTGGTATCCGTTTAATGTACAAAGTACTTTTATGCTTCCAGTCAGTTTATCTATATATTGTTTAATGTATTTCAGATTTTTTGGATTATTATGTGGGGAAAAATCTCGTTTTTGGAAATATCACATAGACAAAGACGAAAAAAGAACTTGATGAACATATAATGTCTTTGGATAAATCCATTTCGCTGGAATAAAAGAGTAATGCAATTGGACTTGGCGACATTCTAATATTTCAGTACAATTCTCTTTCGATAGTTTTGTTCAACTGCAACATTTTCCATTCATTTGATTCGATGAAAATAGAAATTAATTTTTTGTCATTGTCATTGTGGGTTGTCTTTTTTTGAGTACTGCCAGGCTTTTCGATATATTACATAGTTAATTTTGCATCTTCATGGAATTTTGATGATAAGCATCAACGTTTCCGCTTTTTCGTTGCTAAACTGATGATAATCTTCACCAAAGTGAGTGTTTCTTTTTTTTCTCGCTTGTAACTCTTGATGAGATTTGATTGTGCGTACATATTGGATGAACAATTCTTAACGGATTTTGGTGAAAAAGAAAATTAGAATGAGCGCGTGTACCTTCTTTACATTAAGTGACTCTTCAGAATTTCTCATTTCATACAAACTGAAGTGCACTTACAATGACATTGAAATTTTCCATTCACATGAACAATACAGTGTCATATATAAATTGGTCACTTCCGACTATTTGCTTTTCTACGTTCTTTGCTATCTCTGCGGACAATCAACCATTTTCTTCAAAAATATATATTTTTTCAATATTTTGAAAGCGAAAAGATTTATATCGGCTCCAAGCATATTAATATACAATTTTTATGTATTTCGACTGTGCGAAGAAATAAAACCGAACTTTGAGCGAGAATATTTATTGACGAGAATGTGATTTTGGCAGCGAACTTTGTATGATGTGATACGCAAAAGATGTGTGAAACGCGTTTTAACTGACGCCGGTGTGTGACGTTGATTCCGTGTATATTAAAGTTTGTCTCGTCGTTCCGATGATGATATCGAATAAATGTTGACACATTGATTATTATTATTTTTTTTTTGTTTGCGCTCATTAAATTTAAATTTGAACGTGGCAAGATTTAACTTATTCTATGGCTTTGAAACAAAATGTATTCGTTTAATGTGCAATTCGACCCCAATGTATTGCAATTCATTTATGTTAAACATACGTGCAAAAAACGATTGAGAATGCATGATTTCTTCTGTGATACACAGAGCGTCAGGGAGCATCTATTCTCTTATTTGGCAATTCCATCAACAAATCGTATTATTTTTGTTCAAACTAAACAACTTAAAGCATGTATACAGATATTTTGTTTGTGAATAGATATTTCCTCTGGTTGTTTGTTCATTTTTTTTTGTTTGCAAATTTCGTATTATATATTTTACGTATATCACGTCATAGCATGAGTAAATTCATTCATCCACAAAATGTGTGATGGTTAAATAAAATGTGCAGTTTATTTAAGATTTGAGATTCAACTTAAAAAATATAAATATTAACATTGAACATCACGTTTACCGCATTTTAAAATGTTCGTTTGTATTTTTCCATTCATATCTGTTTATTTCGATTCCAGGGCCAACAGAAACATTTACCGAATGATTTGCATGTAGTTGAGAAAATTCATTCATGAAACCATATTTTCCACATCAACAAAAACAAATAATTTTCTGACTGAATGAAAGTAATGTGTGAAATATGCTTGCTAATGGAACTGTGGTATACCGAGTGAGTTTTTTATTTACAACAAGACTTCGAGGTTCAGTCGTAAATTTTTTTTTGTTTATCAAATTTTGTTTATCAAACTGAGGCGAAACGATGATTTGGAGAATGAAAACCTACGCAAATGCATGCAAAGTGGTTTTTCAAATCGTAGGATGAATTAAAAAAAATGGTTTTACCTTTCCCATCTAATAGCATTTTATTACACATCAAACATTCTATCACAATCATAAAACAAACAAAAAATTCACTTTTTTTCATTACAAACCAAGTATTACAAAAATATTAAGTGTTCAGTGACCAAAACTGATAAGAAAATCATTTGATAAATAAAAGTATACAGTGACCTACCTTCAGAAGTTCTGATACCATAACAAATGACATCTATCTAACGATAAATACGATGTGATTTTATAGTTGCCGGTGTAAATTTGCAGCACTTCAGCTGATAGCCGTTTTTCACACTCTAAATTAAAATTGTTCAATTTGATTTAAACTCAAACTTTATTTATTATTATTTGAAATGTATCTGAATAGCACTGAGTTTGAACTCTTTGAAATTTATTCGTCTTTTTTATAATATATTAACTTTTACATTTTCATTAAAATATTTTCAATTTCGAGATTTAATTTTTCTTTATCAAAAACTACAGATGAAATAAAACACGTTACTGAACTAAAATTGACTGTGTACTATTTCACTGTTCAATACAATGTGCTGTTGAAATGACGACGATCGCACTTTTCGAGAGTAGCAAAAATTCGCAAATAAAATTTAGAAAAATTTCTTCTTAGTTTTTTAGTTGAGATAATTTCAGTATGAACTCTAGCTAACGACTGAAGTGAATTTTCAATCGTCGCTCATATTTATAGATTGTGCGGCTTCGCCTGGCCAACTGTTGAATGTACGAAGTGAAATGGAAAAACGACGATCATGCGCAAACTCAGGCTAAAATGTATATTTATATTGCTGTGTTATGAACACAATAAATGAAAAGCAATATAATTCAAACTGCACAGCTCTTTTCCTCAATGCATAATAAAGTCTCATATGGCTTTGTATTGTAGAAAATATACAGGAATAAGATGACATTCATAAGAGAAACCGTTGGGAACAAAATAAGCAAGAAAAGAGTAGGTATTGATTTCAATCTAATTGAAAATTTTCACCAAAGCAATAAAAGAATGAGAAGCCGAGAATGGAATAAGAAAATGGCACGTAGAGACAAGCAAGAATACAACGTGTTAAAAGGGTTTTATAACGTAAGTGACATCTTCGTAAAATCTTGTAATTACTTTGCACAAATCATCATAATAAATCAAGTATCATTTGTTTCATTGGAAGCATGCAAACTGTTGAATAATCAAATTAAATGTATATTTGACTCCTTTGTTGTGAAAAAATACCCTTTCTTTTGATTCTTTTACCATTCTATATAAAAGTTTCCCGACATTAATTGCACTGATTGAATTTACCATTACGTATTATTAACTAAGTTTAGAAAAAAAAACGTCCTTTTCCAGTGAGATTTCGCCTCTTGAAAGAAGACACTTTCGTGAATCATAAATATTACAGCTTAGAAAAAAGACAGTAGAAACACGCTTTGGCGTTGAATACTTTCGGTTACATAATCATTGGAAAACAATGAATTGTTCGAATCAATAAGAAAAAAGAAAAGAATAGGCATGTCTGAATTGTATAATTCTGAAGATTGCATGTTTCGGCATGCTTGAAGTAAAACATAACGAAGTCTGGGAATTATCCATCGCATTTTACGACGCACAATGAGATGAAAAAAGATTCTTACAAAATAAGCATTGTATAATATTTCTTGAAATTTTCTATTGCGTTATATAGCCTACATTGTTATACCATTTTGATACGTACATAAGTCATGTATTCAGTTGAAAATGATTTTGATAAGATCGATTCGATTGAATTTGAAATTATTTCATTAAAACCAATTTCCGATGCTAATTGATACAAGAAAATGTCGCCACTCATCGGCTAAGCTCTAAATTCCTAATCAAGAAAGGGGTTTACATGTCTGACATAATTGGCTTTGTCTCCAATTTCACTAAATCAAATACAACATAGTCAAAGCTATGGCCTTAAATCACAAATAATATTCGGAACATTTGAGTTGATAATTCGCCGCTTTAGTCAAAACTATTGTTCATTTCGGAAAGTGTGCTTCAAAACGTGCTTTCGACTCGAGTTTCTTATCATGTTCTGAAAACAATCTCCTTCGAAAAAAAAACATCCGGCTTCCGTTTATACAAGAAAGTGTTAATAATACGCCACAAATTTTTCAGTTCAATCTCACGCATACCGCATGTAAAATAACGTGGCTTGGCAACTCGAAACAAACAATTAAAGTAAGTGCATTCATTTCATTAAAACATGATTCTTTTTCTTGTTCTCACATTGAAATCAATCAAAGAAATGAAATCGATTCACGTTTGAATATTTTCTCAGTTTCAGAATTTATATAAAATCGTGGGTGAGAGAGAGAGAGAGGTCGATCAACGGAAAATTATAATAATTCAACAATAATAATAATATATTTTAATGTATCGATAAAAATCGGTATCAATTGACCATAATAATTCTATCTCAAAATCACCTTGAGAAAAAAAACACAAATTTCGAGAAAGAATTTCGTGAATTTTACATCAAAGTAGGCTTCAACAGGCAACAAATACACTGATGTGAAAAAGTAAAAAAAGTAGATGATATATTTATCAATACGAAAAATGCTCATCTTGTACAGCACGCTGTGCCACGTGAAGCATTGAATGGTTCATTGAATGGATGTGCTTGTGTTTACATGAAAGAATAAATGTCTAATAGTTTGAATCATTTTCATGCAAAATTATTTGTATTATTGTGTACAAAATGGGGAAGGGGGGACAAAAATTATCAGGATTCCGAACGCCATTCAAAACTGATATGACACGTGTAAGGCTAAGAGGGTACAAATTTTCATGTGCATGCATAGATTGTATGCTAGAAATTTTTAGTACTCAAACATAAGTATTAATGAAATTGTTTACGCCTCACATTTTTGGTGAGCACATTGTTCGGAACTGGTGGTTATGCATTGAAAATAAATGTGCAATTTACATACGTAAATACAAGAGCTCTTGTTTGTGCATCTTAGTTCACGTGCAATCCAGAATAATAAAGCTCTTATCATACAATCGATCAATAGCTGTCCAGTCGTCCTATTTTAAAAGCATTTAAATTCATTACAACGCATAAATGTTTATTTGTTAAAGAATAATGACGTTTTGTTTACAGAAATGTTGCTTGGTTGGAACACTGTTTGCTGACTTTTCAATACTTTTCTGAATGAAACAAACAAATCAGATAAAAATGTATGGGCAGCAGAACTTTCTTTTCAAATTGCAAAGGTGGACATAAGCCGTTTATTCACCTTTATTTTCCATTCGGTTTTGTTAGCGGTGTCTTTGAACTTCTTCGATTCGATTGTGTCAATGAAAAATTCAATTACGTAATAAGGTTTGGGTAGCCAATTCTAACTTCAGAAACAGGATATTGAGTGAATTCTATCAATGTAATTCTAATGGTACTTGGCACACTATCTTGTAATTAAATGCTAAAACTTGGGCTTGGCTTCTTATTAGAGAGAAGCAACAAAAAATAAACCAGCTTTGTTTTTGATCCTTTTATTAAAAGAGTTTCATAAATGAGAGTCGAAAAAAGCTATGAGGCAAAAGTTCCGTTTTCAATAAATGTCGTGGGAGAGTCATTGCCAAATTAATTAGATATAGGAAGAAAGAAACTTTTTGCATGACTTGATATATCAATAAAGCAAAAGGTCGCCGTTTCAAAGACTTGAAAAAGTTCTTTTATGCAGCACTCTAATTCGTTCCACTTTCTGAGCCTAGGTTTTGCAAAAAAAGAGAATATTTTCTCGTTTGCTCAACCGCATAACAAATTATAATCTTTCATTGTCAATGAGTCTTGTCACGTAGGCCAACATGTTTGTCTTTAGTTTCATCACATTGTCCATTGTCTTAGGCATGGTTATTCTTCTTCTTTTTTTTCAATATTTTTCCCAGCATGGTTGAAAATACATGTAACATTGGTCAAAAGTGCAATAACCTCCTCTTATTGTGATTCGATGGATTTTTCATTGAATTAACGGTGTTTTATTTGGCAAACGAACGATTATTGTTATGTAACTACTATGAAACCGCGCTTCCTACTTAACTAATATTCAATCTATTAGAGAAATACAAAGAAAAAGAAGAAGAAGCGAACATATAGAATATTGTTGAACACAAATGAATTGATTTTCTTTATTTGCTAATGGGATAATGTTACAGGGTGCGCCATAATAACTGTCCCTTTTATTTCTAGCCAAAAAACACAGAAATTTGAATCAAATCGAGATATAATTTTATTCGATATAAGAATGAGGTATAGAGATTATGATTCAGCCTTTGACTTTAATTCTTCCCCCCTTTTCTCGGATTAACAAACGCAAACGTTTCGAAAACGATTGACACGCGGCACGCACCATATCAATGGGAATTTCGTTCCAAATTTTTATTATTTTCTTTTTGAATGCATCCAAAGTGGTTCGTTTCGTAATTTTCAGATCATTGAGCTTCGACGACATGTATCCTCAAGCAAAAAAATCGAGCGGGTTCAAGTCAGGAGACGATGGCGGCCATGAGTCTCTGTCAATGAAATCAGGCAAATTCGTGCGTGGCCATTATTGTGTCGTATTTGCACGATGTGCGGGTGAACCATCTTGTTGAAATACCCATGGTTCACCTCTGAATAGTCTTTGAGACCGTGGCAATAAGTTTTTACGCAATATTTCTCGAATATATACTCTGGCATTGATTTTTACGCCTTCTTCGACGAAAACCAGTGGAAATTTGTGGTCGGCCGACATGGCGGCTCAAACCATCAATTGTGGAACATTTTGAAATCGTTCGATGGTTTTTTCATCTTCGGGAATATCAAGGATTGATGTTGCGTACACACGATCATTTTGCGAATTGAGGCTTGGCTGTAAAAGGAACAATTTTTCATCTGAAAAAACAATGTTTGAGTTTGCGTGCCGGCGCAACAACTCTTTGCATCTTTGCTTTCTGGCTTGTTTATTTTTGATTGTGAGACCATGTCGTCGACATTTTTTGAATGGATTCATATTCAGGTCTTCTGCCAAAACTCGTTGCATTGAAGTTTCACTGATTTTGTGCTCATGAGCCAACTTTCGTCCACTTCTTCGAGGTTCTCGGCGAATTTTCTCTCTCACTCGTTTGATGAGATTTTTGGTATGAACAGATCTTTTTCGTCCAGTTTTCTTTAATATATCAACGCTGCTCCGTTCTTTGTATCGTTTTATTGTGCGCTTTACAAATTTCAAGTTGATATTTTCATTTTGTAGCTGTCGAAAAATATCAATTTGTCTCAAGCCCCGTTTGTGCAAATTTAGTACCAGTTGACGTTTCACATCCATTCTTATCGCAAGCTATACAGACACTGTACATAAAT